TGGTATCCGGATAATCCGACAAATATTCGGATAATTATCCGGATATCAATAGTAAAACGGATATCCGAATAAATTCAAATCTGGATATCCAATAGGTAAAATGGATAAACGGATAATGGATAGGAACTCTATAAAATATAGTTAAAATATAGTTAAAATATAATTAAAATATTGTTAAAATATTAATATTCTACTAACTTACTTTTAACTACCTTTTTTTAATAGCTCGCTGTTAGCTAATAAAATTTTTTAAAAAATAACGTCATAAAATTAATAATAAATATTTATAAATTAATGTTATAATTAAAATTCAAAATAGACAAATTATATATAAAATTGGTCAAAGAATATTTTTTACTAACAAACTAAAAATAGATTCATAATAAAGATTTATAGTTAAAACCGATTTTTAAAAAACTTTAATTATTTTAATTTTACTTTTATATAATATAATCTTATATCTAATTAATAAATTGTATTAATAATAAATATTATATACGTATAATAATAATAAATAAATTTATTATTTTTATTTTTTATGATAATATTTTAAATATTTATTTTTAATAAAAATATATTTATTATAGGAAAAATCTAAATGGTGCCCCTATGCACTTTGTGCCCCAAGTTATGATAGCGAACAAAGATAAAGACTAACATTAGAGTTCGGGTTAGAGTTAGCGTTAGGGTTAGAATTAGAGTTTTTTTAGGCTAAATTTGTGAGAGGAACATTTTTTATTAGTTACACAACAGGGTTACCTTAGTAAAATTTTGAGATATTGGCAATTTTTATAGTAAGGATCACATAGTGCATGGGGCATTATCTAGTTCAGTTCTTATTATATATTTAGTATATTTTAATTATATTATAATAATATTAAAACTATATGATTTTAAAATAAAAGTGCACTATTAAAATATATTTGTTTGGCTTCTCTATTCTGCCAATATGCTTTTCTACATCCTCTTGAACCAGGAGGCCAACACCAAAGCTTTTCTTTTTAGATTTTGAACTGATCAACCATATTTCTTTAAAATTAATATTGTCTTTTACCACAAACCCTGCTTCATACTCTTGCAGGTTTGTTTCTGTGACCCCAATTATGTTGTATTCTTTTTCCACTGCCCATTTTAACAGAAGCTCTATTCTATGATTATGCACCTTAAGCCCGTTAATGTTGTGTGTTGCTATGTTGATTTGCTTAGCCAGTTCTAAAATTTTTGATGGTGCTAGCTGTGTCCAAACCTGGCTGCTATTCGGGTACTTATAATTGATGTGGTGCCTGTGGCACCTCTCAGAAGCACATAGAAGCTTTGCCCCTATTCTGATGTTCTTCAAGTAATTCTAGTCTTTTTAAGAATTTCTTGCAATAGATCAACTTGATCTGCTTTATTTTTGCTACTTTCTTTCTCAAATTTTTTTAGTTTTTGGTCGATATTTGGTCTTTTGCCTTTTCATTGCATTTTAATAGACAGAATATTCTTTTCTGTAAACTTGCATTTCGGTTAGTTCATGCTTCCTTCAAATGGTTTTACCATACTTCTGAATTGAATATCTAAGTTTTCTTTGTCTGAAACTAGATTTTTCTCAATTAATCTTGGCCTTAGATCTCTGTACTTGTTGATATCCTGTTTTAAGGTTTTTTTTAGCTTTTTTGCTTTCTGGATTAGTCTGCTAAGAGGGTTTATTAAGTTTGTTCAGGGTCTTTTAGTATCTTGAGGATGTTGTATACTCGTGAAACTACTGCTTTCTGCCTCTCTACTATGTGATCTTCACTCTAATTTTGTATTAAAATAGTATAATGTCAACTTCTAAGCTTGTAAAGATCTTGCTTGGACTTAAAATATAATTATACTCTTCTGCTTTGGTTGCCATTTCAGTTATTTAGTATATGTACTGCTTGTACTCTGTATTTTTTTAGCTGACAGAGTAAATAGCTATTATATGCTGTTGACAGTATATTATATATAATAGTTTTGAATTTGTTTTGCTCTTCTAGAAGACCAATATCAAATTTGCCTAGTGTGATTCTATATATCTTGTCTTGGTCAAGATGTACTGACCAACTTTCTCTTAGTGAAGTTTCTCGCTCTTCAGCAAAAATTGTAATTTTAATAAAAGCTGCCTTGCTTGTAAAGTTATATTGCCAAGCCAGAATAGATGCTATATCAAAATATTTAAGAAATTTTTTAATTTCTGCTATGCTTGTTTCTCTTAGAAGATCCCAGAGTGTAAAGAAATAAGAAGATTCATTTATGTATTTTTTTGAAGTGAAATCTCCCTCAGGTGCCAATACTGAGTTAAATATGTCTTCATGTTTTTTAACTTTTTTACTGTTTTCACTTTTTGAACTGCTATGTTTGTCTGTTGAGAGAGGTTTAACCAAACTGTAATCTAGTGTGCCAACTTCATTTTGTACTAGTATGCTTTGACTGCTTTCAAGCTCATTGTTAGTTGAAATAGTTGTTTCTTTCTGTTCAGTAAGACATCTTTTATGAGCAAAACTTTTGATGTCGATTAGTATATTTTTTCTGTAATTGCTTGATAGGGTAATTGGCTTAATAGGGACAATGTCCATCAGAATAGAGCTATTTCTGTCAGATTCTTTTTAAATACTATTTGCAGTAACTATATTTCCTAGCAGGTTTTCTTCTTATCTGAAATAGACTTATGCTTAAACTCTTTACTCTCTGCCCATTTGTATCTTTTAATAACTGTGCGAATAATTGCAATAAGGCAGATATCATTCGCTCCACGATACTCTGCTACAAATTTTGTCTTGTTTTAGTATTGTTTGCTCTTGTTTACTGTAAAGTGCAAGTTTCTTCTCTCTTGATTTGAAGAATAAGTTTCTATATTCAATATATAAGTGATGGCATTCTTATTTGTACGTGACATGTATTCACATTGATATTTGTTTGATACTTTAATCGAAGATGCATAATGTGATTGTTTGTTGTTTTTTGTAATCTACATTACAGAGTCAAAGCCAATTCCCCAAAATTTACTTTTGTAGAGAAAATTTTTTCGAAAAGCTGTTTTCAGCTATATGTTTTTAACCAGTTAGCAAACAGACTAGAAATACAAGTAAACTTTAGTTGATTTTTCTTGATGCTTTTTTTCTCTTAGTCTATAAAGTACTATTCAGTAGTATATTTTACTGTCTTTTAACTGTTTGTCTTTAGCTCAATTTTGGTACAAGAATCTGCAGGGGAGAGATTATTGAATATAATTAAATATTAATATAAATTTTTTATATTTTTTAAATATAATTATATAATCATTTTTTAGTATTATATACATAATTAGATATAATATATTTTAAATATAATTATATATTTAGTTTTTTTAAATATAATAGTTTCAAATAAATAATAAAGTTTAAAAAGAAAAAGAAATAGAAGATGCATTAAAAATAAAAAATAAAAAATATTAATAACAATAGAAAAACAAAAATTAGAAAATAAAAAAGTGAGACTGAAATTACTTGCTAAAAAAATTGAATTAAAAAAAAGTAAAAAAATTAAATTAATTATATTACTAAAAAATTTGCTTTTTTATCTTTTTAAATAGTAAAAATTATTATTTATTTAATTAAATACTTAATTTTTATATTATTAAAAATTTGTAAAAATAAATTTACTAAAGAAATATTATATTTATAACATCTTGTTATTATAACACCCTATATAGTTTAAGATTAGAGTTAGGGTGCATCTTTAAGATATATAAGTGTTTTTTATATAATATAATATATATTTGATATAAGGTCCTTTTTTATAGATCCTAAATATTTTTACTTAAAATACCCAATCCCCTTTACTTAGTACATTTTTAAAATATAGCATAGAGTTAGTATAGAGTGTTATATAACACTGTATTATGAATATAACTTTCCTTTAATAAAATTTATTTTTTTTTTATTTTTTTTTTTAATTCTTTGTTGGTCTTGTCGCTATCTTTATTAAAAGATAATTATTCTATATACAAAACATATATGAAATATTTAAACTAAAATAATCAGATATGGTATCATCCGGTTACTTCTCAAGTACCTAGATACAACCTGTTACACTGTGCTACAAATAGAACTGAAGACATTGTCAGCCCTGCCCAAGAGTCAAAACTTAATTTTTTTTCACCTAGATCTTGGCAAAAAGGTTTCGGTAAGCCTGTTTTTCTATTTAATAAAATTAAGAAAAAACAAAAAAGAAAATAAAACAATATTGCAAGAAAGGGGAGATAAGAAAAATGATTAAAAGAAAAAAAGTCTATAAGAGAGGAAAAAATAAAAACCTAAATGTAAAACTTTAATATAATCATATAAGAAAAAGATGAAAAAAAACAAGTAAGGCTCTTAAACTAGGCTAAACAACATAATATAAGAAAATAAAAAAAGTGTACTATTGTAATCTGTGCAAGGCTTAAAAAATTATATAACAAATACAATATCTATATATCTCTACTGTAAGACTTTGCCTTAACATATTAGTTTCTTTCTGACTATATGACCAAATCTGAATAAAACTTTAACAAGGACTAGTCAATGGGCCTTGTCACATGGAGTAGCAATGTGTTTATTACCAAATAAAACATGTAGTTGCAATCTACTAGGTTAACTGAATTTGGAAGAAGTAAACAATGCTGATCATTTGATAGGTGTAAGCTGTTTTGCCTACTTTTTTCAAAAATTTTGTTGCAGGCACAAGTGGGTGATAGTAAAGAGTATAGATTTTGTACTTTTTTTAAAATAGAGTATATATTTCTTCAAAAATAGTAAGATAAGTAGATCTGAGCACACTGCTGATATTTTTTTTAATAAGTAATAAACTCTGAACTTGCTAGTAAGTAGCATATGAGAACTACTTCAAAATAACAAGTGCTATCCCTACAATAAGTAATAAGCTCTAAACCTATTAGTAGATAGCATATGAGAATTATCTCTAAATAATAGGTACCAGTTTATAGTTCTTGCCAGTCTTATGTTCTTTCTCTCTAACATAGTTCTACAGTTTTTGTTGAAATTTTTGTTATAAAAAGTTGGTCTGAGAAATCATCAAGAAGTATTGATTAAAATTTAATTTTTGCTATTGCTTAAATTTATAAAATAATATATATAATATATATATTGTATAATATATTAATTTTAAATATATAAATTAATCATTTAAAGAATATAAGTTAAATATAAAATTTTTTATTATTTATAATTTTAAATTAAATATTAAATATATTTAAAAAAAATATTATTAATTGTATATAAGTATAAGCTTAATATTAATGCTTTATTTATATTCAAATTATACTTTAACTAAAAAATAAAATATATATTTAAACTATTAACTATACCATATCATACTCAAAAGAATAATATTTATAAGGTTCACAAATTATTATCTAGAATATAGAGTTTTTGTCTTTATAGCAATAGTAATTTTTTTTAAGTAAATAGTAATTGAAGATTGTATAACCAAAACAATCTAAATTTGATTTGCTACTAATTTTAAATAAGCTGATCATTGATTTTTGCAGATTTTAAGTGCATTTATGCTAGGTATAAATTAACTAATTAAAATTATAAATTTTTAATTAATGCTATAATATAAAAAATAAGAATATTTTTTTTTATTTATACTAGTAAAATTTAATAAATTCATCATGTTAAATAGCAAATTTATTAAATTTTACTAGTATTATTGTGCACTTTTTTATTTATTTTTTTTTTTGGTATTAAGGTGAGGTCTTGCTCATATCTTTAGTGATTAATTTATATAAGCAATTACATAGTTATAAAAGCTTAATTTGTACAAAAACAAATAAATATGTGTATAAATTATATACAAGAATAAAAGCTTAGTTTAAAAGCTCAAACTAAAGTTTAAACTAATTATTTACAACCTAAACCTACTAGAGTGGTCAAAACTCATCTAAATTTGAATAGTTAGGATATTGTTAATAGGTGTGCTATATCTAATCCACATAGTAGACCAGATATTAAGTTTGGTAGATACTTGTTCTAGAGGAGAACAAGTATTGGATTCAGAATATAGTTGGTTGGTAAAGCTACAAGGGCAGTTATAAATATATTTAGTTTTGTTTCTTTTATATAAAGAGGGTACAGATAGATTAGATATTGTATTAGAGGTAGGTTGAGGAGGAATTTGAAGTGCTTTTTTCTAGTGGAAAAAGTTAATACAGTAGAAAATCCATATTTTGTAATATAATTGGTCAGAAATTTTAAGAAGTATTTATATAATAAGTTAAGAGGCATTGGAGTATAAGATGTTAAAGAAGTCTAGAGCCTAGAATAATAATATTGGTGGTATAAGACCTTTGAGTGTGAAATAAAGAGAGTAAGAGCAAAGAGATGAGGGTAAAAAAATAAAAGCAGGATGCAAAGAGATAGTATGTATAAGGTTGTGAAGTTGGTGTATAGAAAAATTGAGATTAAAGTTAAGGATAATTTTCTGTATTGAGAAGTTAATAGTTTGAGTTTGAATAGTATTATTAGGGCAAGTATACCAGTGAGAAGAAGTGTCTGGGTAGTTGCAAAAAAAGCAATTATCAAGTGTAAAAGTAAGAGAGTATATGGAATAAAAGTATGCATGTGTTGGCAGCATATTAAAAAGCAATTTTATTTTAAAAGCTTTTAAGTAGTTTAATTTAGAATTGGTAAGATTGTGTGTAATTTTTTAATTGTTGTTGAAGTATAACCAAGAAGCTTTCTAGTCAATCAAGTGAGAGAATGATGACCATTCTTGGGTATGATATTGTGAAGACTATAGGGCAATAGTGCGTACTTTGCAAATTGTTTTAATAAATTGTCTAGTAGGACTTTCTACAAAGCATTCTTTTCATAATAAATTAGAGTATGGGTTATAAGAATTAGTATGGTTAAAATATAAAATTAGGGAGAAGAAGTGGTTGTTAGTAAGTAAGTCTGCAAGATTATTAAAGAAGTTATCAGAGTATGCTTGAACTTTGTAAAAAGAGATTTGTATATTGAAGGCTTTCAAAATATTAAGAAGTGTGTGCCAGATAGGCCAGGAGTTAAATTTAAGATATTTGGAGAAGTGTGATAATGTAAATAGAAGTTTGTTATATTTAGAGATAATAGATTGTGAGTATGTAAATATTTTGATGTTAGAGTTTTGGAGAAGTGTTAAAATAGCAGATAGTATTGCTAGAAGTTCAGCTTTGTAGGAAGAAGACCAGTTAGAAATCTGTGCAGAGAAATTGTAAATAACATGGTTGTTATGAACTTAAACCTAGCCAATACCTATTGAGCATTGATTGGTGCTACATTGTTTAACTAAACCATCTGTATAGAAGATAAATTGGATTTGGGATAAGTTAGCGAAAGCAAACTGAGCAAGTTGTAGAGAGGCATTATTGTTCTAGAAAATAGATAAGATAATTGAATCAGTAATGCTAATAGTAGGTAAGGTGGTATATTAAAAGAATGTTTAATATTAGTAGAACAGATAAGATCTATATAATTAGTATTAAGGTTGAGTTGTTTGTTGGCTTTTTTCTTTCCCAAAAATTGGGTAGAAAGAACAGTTAATACTTTTAAAGTACAACAGCTTGATATCTGGGTGGAGTTAAGACTACAAACTTGGCAAAAAGTGCAAGAGATAGAAGATAATAGATAGTAATATGAAGTTGAGGTATTAATATTGTGTTGCTAGTATGTTATTAAAATGGTGTTGATTTGAAAAAAGGTTCTGTGAACTTGACCAATAATAATGTCTTCATTGAGGTATATAAGAATTCAGGGTTTGTGAGTTTTGAAAAGTAAGTTGGTTTAAAAAGCAAATACAGTAGATTAATGCCAGTAGATTAAAAGTTAGCTAAAATAGTTCAATATAATTTGTTGTCAAGGATAGAGTCTTCTAGATAGGTAAACCAAAGTGGTTTTTTTGCTTTGGGAATGTGTAAAAGTCTGGGAGATAGATGTGACTAGTCTAAAAAAGTATTGTTGTCAGATGAACAAAGTTGTTCAAGATAAAAAATGTTTTTGTATTAGAGTTGTTGTTTAAAAGTATTGTATTTAGAGTGGTTCAAGAGAATGTTTTTAAGTGAAGTATTGTTATTATTTATAATTTTGGGCCAGAAAGTATCAAGGTGAGAGTATATAAAAATATATAAATAATTAAAAAGTTGAATAATCTTAAAGGTTGTAGAATATTTATTTGGACTATCAATAATAGGATAAAGGTGTTAAAGAATATTAGTAATAGACCAGAGATTGTTTTGGAGTTGTTAGAGTTAGATGTGAGTTGTTGCACCAAGAGTAGAGATGTTATTAATATAAGTAAGAAAATTGCTAATGTGTGTTGGAGTTGTATATCCCAAATATTGTGGATATTATAGAGGTTGTAGTTGAGATGAGTACTGTTAGGAGTAGAGTGAGAAAGATGTGCTTTGTGTTTGGCGATAGTAAGATATTTGCCAAGAATTGTATTGTATATAGAAAGGAGTATAACAATATTATAAATTCATATTCAATAGTAGGAATAATAACAGTATTAATGATATAAGTAATTTGTTTGTTAGTAATGTTTTTGGTACTAGCAATATTGGCTAAGTTAATAGCTTCATCTTAGATAAGTTTTATTTGGAAGGTTTGTTTGTTGTTAAGAGTGAACCAATATCCTAAAAACTTAAAAAGCTGAGAAAGTGAAATAGATTGGAGGTTGGAGTTAAGAAATGAGAAGTTTTATAGAGTTTGGTTTGAATAAATATTGATTTTGTAGGGTTAACTTGAATATCTGCCATAGTGTAGAAAGAGGAGATGATATTGACAATTTTATTAAGTTATTTTTTGGATTGGGCAATCTATAAGTATCATCCATATATGCCAAGACTAATATAGAGATATGAGTGGTTAGTAGAGTGGTGTTGGAGACTAGTTTGCCAAGAAGTGAAGAGAGTGTATCTAAAAAAGTGTGAGGAAGTATATGCTATTAAAGAGTCATAGTAGATTCTTCAAATAAAAGAGTAATTGTTTTATCTTGGTCAATACCATTTCTAACAGAGTAGAAATTAGTAAGGCCAAGATTAGTAATAACTTGATTAGTATGAATGAATAAGAGATTAGTGAGAATGTTGATAAGCTATTAGGGCATTTGTATACAATAAAGAGATTTTTGAAATAGTTCAAGGTTGACTGAGTTATAAGCCTTGCTCATATTTTGAGAAAGTAGCCAGAGTTGGTTGGAATTGCAGTTGGCATCTTCTATTATATTGTTGAGAATGTGAATAGAGATAGAGGTAGAGTTGCTAGGGAGTGCAACAAAATTAAAGAAAGACAAAATATTATATTTAGACAAAATAGTATTAAGACAGTTAGTAAGAAGTTTTGTATATAGCTTTTTAATGTGTTCAATTAAGCTAATAGGTTTGGTGTTTGATAGATTGCTATCAAAAATAGGCTTTTTGGAGATATGAAAGATATAGTCTTCTTTCTATTGTTTGGGAATAGTTTGAAAAATAAAATATCAATTAAAAAGAGATTTAATAACAGTGAGAAAGTCAGGGTCTGCATGTTTAAATATTTTATAGCTAATTCCAGATAGACCACAGGCTTTGTAGTTGGGGAGTTGGTTAATAATAAAGATAACCTCATCTTCAGTAAAGTCAAGAAGGATGTTGGAGTACCAAGTTGGGTTGATATGGGGCTTGGAGTTATATTCAACTTGCTATTAGGAGTTAAATATATTAGTATTAATATGCCGGGGAGCAGTCCAGTTATCAAAATATTGTTGAATAGATGATTTAATAGTAGAAGGGTTAGTAATAATATCATTATCTAATTGAATATTATTAAATTTAACAGAAACTTTATATTGATTAAGAATACTATTAATTATCAAGGTTGGATGGGTCTGAAGTTTGAAATATCTTTTGTTGATAGTATCAGAGATTTGTTGTTTGATTTCTTTGATATTTTCAATATTTCGGACATGAAAAAGATTTTTCTATTTAGAGTTAGCTTCAGTAATTCAGGGAGTAAGAAGTTGGTATGTGGAAGATAGTAAAGAAATATATAAGCTTGCAGATTGATTAAGTGATGTGATAGAGGAGTTAAGGTAAAAAAAAATAGGTGAAGAGTGTTTTAGAGCATGTTTTATGTATTGAATAATATTGCCAAGGTATTTGAAGTTAGAGTATAAATGAGTGGCTTTTGAAAAGAAAGTATAATAAAAGTTAAAAGCAGTAAATTTTTTATTTGGGATATATTGTAAAGCAGCTGTAATGATACTAGTATAGATTTTGTGCCAAGTTGTTTCAAGAGATTCCAGAGTTTGTATTGAAAAGGAAGTATAGTTAGAGTAGAGATTAATGTAGACTTGGTTAGAAAATTCTTCCCATTTAGTATTGTTCATAACTTTGTAATTAAAAACTTTTCTACAAGTCCAAGTTTTAAGTCTACATTGGCCATGTAGTATATAGGAAAAGGACCAGTGAAAGATCAAGGTTTTGTGGTTACTAAGTAAGTTGCTGTGTGAGTCATCTATGTTGAAGAAGGTTAGGTAAGTTATAATAGTATGATAGGCCCAGATGAAGTTAATTTTACTGCTATATCTAGAGCTATGCCAGGTAGAAGAAGATAATGTTGTGTGTGAAGTGAGATTATACATATTATTGTAGATAAGGAATTGAAGAAGTTTGTATTTGATAGAAGAGGAGTAGATATTGTTGGTTGAGGTATTAAAGTCTTCAAGTATAATAGAAAGCAGGTTAAGAGTGCTAGCATCTTGTAGCTATTGGATAATAGTGTTTTGAGTTTAAAGTCTAATAAAGGCATTGTCACTAGAGAAATATATGGAGATAATATGGAATTTAAAGTTATATTTAAAAAGCAGGTTGATCATAATAGCATAACCAGGAATTAGAGAAGTTTTGTATATGTGAGGAGTTAAGGAATTGTGTATTATAATAGCAGTTCCAGCTTTGAAGCTGTCAGTACAGGACCAAAAGTAAGTATAGTAAGAAGTTTTGAGGAGTTTGGAGGTTAGAATGTTGTTGTTAGCAAGTTTGGTTTTAGTAAGACAGATAATATCCAAGTTGTTAAATAGACAATAATGTTTCCAAACTTGTTGTTTGAGGCTTTGGTTGAAGCCTTGAATGTTGTGTGTATATATTAATAGGTTAAGAGGTGAGTGGGGAGTGCTAGAGCTAGAGATGTATTAAGTATTTAATTTTAAAGGAATAAACAGATGAAGATAGATACTTTCTAAATAAGATATAATTGTGTGGTCAGATAGAGGACAGGGTTCATTAGGGAGATAGATATGTGCTTCACTATAGTCATTTTTGATGGAGATAACAGCTTTGTCTTGGAGGTTACTTCATAGGCTATTTGTTAGTAGATGTAAGAAGAAAGAGTTAAATGTTTGGAGTGATAAAATAGATAGATAGTTTTGTGATATAAGGAATTTATTAAAGCAAGTAAAAGGTTCATAGAAGGTAAAAGAGATTGTGAATGAAACCTTTCAAATATCTTTTACAATTGCACTCGCCATATACCTGGCTCTCACAGTTCCACAAGAATTAGAGACACTTAGATTAGACGTTAGAGTACTGTTATTATCTGATTCTTCCAGGTAAATAGGCTTGACCATCTGCCTACTTACATTATTCTCTTCTCTAACTACTAAGGATATATCTTTTAGAGAAGTGGTAGCTATATTTATGTTGTTTGTAGAAGATTGGGTTAGAGGAAAAAAGAATCTTCTTTGATAAACAAAGAATCTTCAATTACAGAAACTTCGAATTGAATTTTAAATTTGGAAGAGAGGATTTTTTCTGCTTCAGGAAAAGCAGATGATAAGTAGTGTTTGGATATTTGTAAAAAGGAGCATGGTGGACAATCTTCGTTATACAAGCCTTCCGGATTTGAAAATTGTGACTCAGGTCTGACTCAGAGCTGAATCGACCAATAAGAATGCACGAATTTTACAATATACAATATCGTATACATTTCTTTATTATTAGTTTCTTCGCTTCCAACTGCTTATATTTCAAATAACTTGCTCCATATAGTAATGGCTACAACTGCAACTATGTTATATATACTGTTATTAGAATACCCAATTCCAATTCATTTACTGATTCAAATGCACGATCCGCCAATGTCTTTATCTTTCTTTACCAACAGATAAGTGTACTAGTTTCTCTTTACTATAAGTATTGTATTTCGTAGCTGCTTCATTCTAATTCATATTTACAGGTTTGATAAGTTTACAGATATACAGCATATAATTAGAGAATAGCGCATATGTTAGTATTCGATAAATTAATAGTTTTTATACAAGTTTTAAATTCATCTAAACTAATTTTGACTACTGGATCTTTTTTTTTTTGGTCTCTAGAAGAAATGAAGGAAAATATGCAAAATAGCAACCGATCTAATGCTTTCAGAAAATGATTCAAGGATGGACGAATGAAAATAAGGTGTCAATAGCTTTGTTAAAGAATTTCAGCTTAAAACCAAAGAATATGAAGATGTAATTTAATGGGTTTTTTTTTAATAGATTAGCAGTTAGATAATATTTAAAAGAATGGCGACAAGTTGTATTACAAGTTACATATGTAGTAGTCAGGTTAGAATAAGTGTTCCAAATCGATCAATCAATTAATTAATCGAATTGGCAATTAATCGATTGATAATTTTATTAGACAACTAATCGATTAATTAATCAATTAGTTGGCTATAATCGATTTTAAATCGATTTTTAAAAGAATTTTTGGCCAATTAATCGATTGCATTTGTTAGAATTATATAAATTTATCATAATGTATATTGAATTCTAAATTCTTTAATTTATTTCACTTATTCAAAAAAAAAATAAATAAATA